TTAGACTCTTAGGCTGTACTGGGGAAATATCTCAGGATGTCAAAAATTATATTTATACAGGAGAGAAGGAAGAAAATGGATGTGTGTGGGGATTTCACGGATGTGCAAATACTCAAATTTTCTTAGAGTTATGTTTCCTTTATTGGCGCAGTTTTTAGAGTTGGCTAAAATGAAATGTTGTTGATAGCATTTTCTATTAAAGTTGCTAATTTGAAAAGTATGGCCAATGTTTCTTTTGTTTATGATAAAGATGCCCTACTGAATTTAGATAGTAGCAGTTTTGAAGAAAATAAAGCAATTAAGCAAATTTTACGATAACCCTGGCGTCAGAAATACAAAAAATTTGTTTGACTCGTTTATTACAAAAAAAAATTGAAAATGACTGATGTCAGGCTCCGAACGAACATTTTCCTAAAAAAGCATTCAACCCTTTTCCGCATACACAGATGAATTAGATGAATCTTCGCCACTACTACCAGCAATGATCTATTATTACCTCCAATCACCATTTTTAACCATGCTATTAAAATTGTAGATATTACAATTTTGAATTAAAAAATTTCGTCATGCGACTATATTTAGAAAATAGTCGAAGAATCAATAAAACTCTGTTAAGTTTGCTTTACGTAGAACTAACTGGTTTAGAAGAAGACGATATCTTGGATAGAGCGAACCCTTTATGAGCTCTAACTACGCCAAATACAAAACGGGCTGTCGGACCTAAAAGCTTTACCACTTCTATCCTTTGTGGCACGAATGTGACTCATTTTGCTTTAAAGGTCGCATTCAGTGCTAAATAAGATTGATTGAGAAGGGATGGAAAACTGAAGGTTTCGATAGCCACCTTGCATAAAAATTTTAGAATTCGTTTCTCAGTTACTTCAATAATGTAATGCCTTTTATATGCACCTTTTTATTTGAACTTATTTATAAATTAAAGTCACTGATCAGACACTCTCTTTGCTATGATCACTTTACAAAGACGTATAAAATCAAAATCGAAATTTCTAGATTCAAAAGATGTTGAGCGCAGCAACAATATGTAGGTTACAGCAATTCGCTTATTTGAAGTTAAGATTCT